TCCTTAGCATAAGAGTCCGTGGTAACTGATAATTTACATTTTTGTGCCTTTAAGTTTTTCAGAAAAACCCAAACAAAAATGAGTTCTTAAATGGGCATGAAAGGTGTTGAGCCCAAAAACAAAAATTTGATAAAAATTCACAAACCTCCGAAAAAATGCAAGTTTCTTCACTTTGATTATTTTGACGAGAGCCAGATTCCACCCACGCTGCCTCACAGTTGTGTGAACCGTGGCTTTGTTATGTTTACAAATGTTTTCGCACTGCTAGATCTAACAGACGGGTTGGAGCAAGATTGTAATAGTAGACATTTCAAGTCCCCTTTGACACAATTTAGACCATTTATGAGACAGGTTGTTTCGTCGATCCCGCCTGTCAAGACGAACCCGGATCGAAAGGGATACTACGTCTCAGACGATAGAAAGAGATCTTTAATCCTCAATTTTTTAAAAACGGTCCACACACAGAAACGGAACCCACGCCTTCTGTTTGCGCGGGGAAGTGTTTAACTGGCACCACAGGCCTCGGTCCTAGGACTTGAAGCATGATTACAGTAATTATCGTCCTCTGACAGGTCGGCGTTTACTGCTCACTGTCGTCTTAATTGTTTGTTCTGTTTTGTTTGGGGGAGGGGGGGGGAGATTGGTTGGGGGGGTTGTCTTTTTTTAGGGGGGGGGTGGGTTCAATAATTTTTGGTTGTTGTTGTTGTTTTTCTCCACTTAAGGGTTGTTATCTGGGAATGTTTGTTCAAGTTATGGTTTTTGTTATTGGTGCTGTTCGTGGAGGTTATGATTGTCACTTTTTCTGAGCACTGGCGCACTTTTAAAGCTTTTTTTCTGTAAGAAGGTTGGAAAGAAAGGGGAAAACGAAAGAATGCAGAAACAAAGTGAATAAGGAATATAAGCGCGAGCAAAAGTTCGAGGAAGGAATGGTCATTCATACTGTTGTCACAAATATTCCACATAAATATGTATTTAGGCCAACTCAAAAAAACAACCTCAAGTGTAAATTTTGTTTGGGTTCTGAACAAAACGTCACGAGGGGGAATAAAGGTCACGGTTGTTATTTATCCTTCTTGTTAGTGTTCATGAGCATAGAGAGTCACACTGTATAACAGGTCTGTAGAAATATTTATTACATTCCTCTTTTAATGTTGATCAAGTGGTCATTATTTTACTTCGGCAGCATTTTGATGAAGAAGTTAAAATATAGATAAATCCTGTTCCTTTCTCTCTCTCTCTCTCTCTCTCTCTCTCTCTCTCTCTCTCTCTCTCTCTCTCTCTCTCTCTCTCTCTTCTCTAGCCATTTTTCTTCTTTCACTTTCTCCTCGCCTTCGTTACGGGCGCTAGTCTCATCTTCATCACTTTAGCCTTAACGTATCAAACTTTGGAAACAACAGAAATCTGAAAACACCTATATTAACATTTTAGACTTTAAGCAACAGAACAAACCAGGGCCTGTAAACCAGCACAACAAAAAGCATCATGACCACTGTTACTATTATTGCAGCAACGTTAGCACCAGCAAAGGAAGCAAATCAGTCCGTCTATCTGCTGAACCCTGGGCTGGACATGACAGGAAGGATCGGAGCAGCCCGCTTCCAAAAACGATCTTAATTGTGTCACAACTGTCAACTGAACAAATTAGGCAATTGTTGCAAAGCGTTGAATAGCCACAGAACCGGAGCCGTTATAACGAACCTAATATTCTCTGATCATCCATTATGTAAGATATTCAGGGACAGCGCCACTCATAAGTGTGTGAAGATAAATGTGTTATGTTTCAGCCAGAGAGCCTACGGTAGAAGTTTACTCTCACTTTCTTACGTTTGCCTTTGGCTTTCCGGTGCAGAAAACTATTTCTTTAAATATTGAGGAACTGAGCCTGGGGACTGAATGATATTTGAAGATGGTTTCCATATTCATCTAGACCAATGTGCTTAGAACAGATTGTAGTGGGTGGGTAAACGAACACTGGCCAATCCACACATGGTAAAGCTGATCGTGTGTGGCAATGCTATATTTGATTCAGGGCAGATCAATTACATGTGGACCCATGAGACTCTTTAAACATTCTTCATTAATTTCTGTGCAATCCAGGTTCATCCTTTCATATATATTTATTCTATATTTTACCAAATTAGTAGGGCCTTTCTGTCAATGATATTTTACCAAAGATACTACACCCTACGTACTCTCTTTGATTTTATTGGTTTCAACCCCCTCTAACGCACCGTTTACCTAGAACTAGTAGATCACCCTGCTTTTTCTAATTAGTGTAGGCCTACATGAAAACAGCATCAAATTATAACACAAGCACATAACGAAACAGTCTTTCCCTTGTACATCTATCTCACGACAAAGAGAATTCTGTTTCTGAACCTGCCAAACTTCTTTGTAGAAGGGGCTACTTCGTAGAGTGGTAGCCCCTACACTTTCTGCATCTCCATTTTTGTTGTTTTATTTATTTTTATTCCGGGTTTTTTTCTTCTATTTTTTAAAGGGGCTGGGGGTTATGAGTTTTACCGCGTTCACAACTGAATATGGTCATAACACGAGCGTACAATACCACAGATTAAGAAACTGTAATAGAATAAAATAACAATAAAAGACCAAACTTGTTTGGTTTAGAATATCTAAACAGCTGGCTGACGAAGATGTGTTGTTGTTCGTGAGTAGTCTTGTCGTGTGCTCTGCTCATTGTGTCGTCATCTGTGCCATGACGCAGTGAAATCAGGCGCTTTTCAAAACAATCAATTTTAAAAAACCGCCATTTTTTCCTGCCACTGGGCAATTTTGTTCCAATGTCCTTTTTCTCTCCACACCTTCGATGTCCTTTTTCTCTCCACACCTTCGATGTCCTTTTCAAAATACATTTCTGTGTGGATGTTACAGAAAGACGTTGACTAAAGGCATTGACAAAATGTACTTTTCAACTCTTCGAGGACACTCAAACTTGAAAAGTCATAAAACTTTGGCAACCATTAATGTCGCTTCTTTTACCTCTCACACCAGGCGACCACCCTCCCCCTCCCCCCTCAATCGCAGCTATATCGATTTCTATTCAAGATAGATGGATTTTTTTTTCAAAGTGCAATACAAATGAGCATGCTTTAAGATTATTTTAATAACTATACATGTCTAAAAGTTGACGTACGCCTGATTGCACCATGTCACGACACATGTTTCGTTCCCTCGTGTGTTTGCTTGGACTCATGATGTCCCCACAGTTTCAGTCCGCCACTAGCTAACAGATTAGCGTTTGTGTTATCACGAATGCTCTAAGCTAGTTCCCCACACTGAAGTCGTTATGGAGTACCGACTCCCACGAGTATTCTGTCATAAAGAGTTGTCTTGTTTTCCCCCAGAGAGGACTTTGTCTTGTCAGACAAGTAGTTGTGAAGATGGATTTTGAAATTAGGGGGGGGGGGTTATTGCTGTTGGTTTTTGTTTTGATTTGTTTGGATTTTTTATTTTTTTCTTGTACTAGTGTGCTTTACAAGATAAACTTTAAGGGATGTACTAGTGTGTTTTAAAAGATAAACTTTAATGGATGTACTAGTGTGTTTTAAAAGATAAACTTTAAGGGATGTACTAGTGTGTTTTAAAAGATAAACTTTAATGAATGTACTAGTGTGCTTTAAAAGATAAACTTTAAGGGATGTACTAGTGTGCTTTACAAGATAAACTTTAAAGGATGTACTAGTGTGCTTTAAAAGATAAACTTTAAGGGATGTACTAGTGTGCTTTAAAAGATAAACTTTAAGGGATGTACTAGTGTGCTTTAAAAGATAAACTTTAAGGGATGTACTAGTGTGCTTTAAAAGATAAACTTTAAGGGATGTACTAGTGTGCTTTACAAGATAAACTTTAAGGGATGTACTAGTGTGCTTTAAAAGATAAACTTTAAGGGATGTACTAGTGTGCTTTACAAGATAAACTTTAAGGGATGTACTAGTGTGCTTTAAAAGATAAACTTTAAGGGATGTACTAGTGTGCTTTAAAAGATAAACTGTAATTTGATCCGTAATTTGTCGAGTTTGTGTTAATGTTTGAGGCTTTTTAAAGACAAACACGACCAAGAGAAATGCTCAACCAATGCCTCAAGGGCGTAGATCGTACAACAACTTTAGTCATTCTTGTGCGTGAGTGAGAACTTCAATGTTCAATGTAGCTGGATCTAGATTCTTTATGGTCTGGCATATCATAATAAGATAATAATAATGATGTTGAAAATGTATATAACATCTAATCCCATAAGGCTCCAAACGCTGTACGATGCAGAATTATCACTCAACTTAAATGACAAACCCAAGGACATAGTTTAAGACCATTTTACCAAACCAAAACATGAGGAGGAAATTGTACTCAGCAGCAACGAGTACCTGGGGGATTTCTTCCTTCTGACAGATGCACCATGCTTCTTCAATGTCTATTGTATGGGTATAGTCTACTCTTGTCTGTGAGTCTTGATAACCCCACCCTGTGTGCTCTTTGTGGTATTCTTTGTGTGATGCACTCTCATGTTATGACGCTCGAAAAAAAAATAAAAAAATATTGAATGTTGTTCTAGGCTTGTCGATATGACAGCGTGCACTTCGTGTTCTGATGATTTCTGTGACCGCGTAACTTCTGAACTTGTCTGATATTGTCTTCTTGACAGGCTCCGACAAAGGCGAGTTTCGCGGGGTTTACTATTTTTGCTTTCTGTGTTATTAACCCCTCCTTTTAACTTACGTCACGTCACCAAGACGGAGTCTTGTAGCAACGATTTTGTTGTTTCGAAGGAAAACTAGTGTGTTTCAAAAGGTATGTACATTCGTATTTTTTCGAGTTGCGTGGTGATCTCACTACTCATAATTTTCTTGTCGGGCTCCCCATCATGCTGCAAACAAATCTTCCATTATTCGATAACTGTTAGAGCTACAGACAAGAAAAATAGAACGATGTGAGAACAGAAGAATGCCATCATGTCCTCCATTTCTCTCCCTCTTTGCCAGCAGCAATGCGTCTACGCGAAATGAGCAAACGTCATCTTCGGAACGACAATCGCACTTCCGGCCATGCCACGAACGACAACTCTTGCACACTCCAAACTCAGACCCTACTGCTCGGCCCTTCTGCCTCCTCCTACTCTCTGCTAAGCGGCCAGCGACATGATTCTGACCCGAACCTGTCAATGGCGCCACCTGCATGCACTGGCTGCAACAACTCTGGTGGCGGCGCGAGCTGCAGTAGGAACTGTGGCGGAGGCTACAGCGGCTGCAGTAATGCGAATGGCGGGCTGTATCCTAATGGAGGGCAAGGCAACGACGCAACTTCTCCTGTTCAGGAACGACAGCGCTCGCCAGGGGGCAGCAGAAAGATGCGCGTAGTGGTGCTGCAGAGGAACCACAAGGCTATCAGCAGCTGAGATGATGGCCGGGTGTTGTTCATCACAAAGCCGGCAACTGAAAGTAGGCTAAACATTTTGCTGTTGACCCGTTCCCTGCTTTGATGTCTCCTTAGCGACCACGTCTAGCTCCCTAACCCCCTTCATTTGTCAACTCTCTGGCTCTGGCTTCACACTTTATTTCTTCTACAGACCTCGACCTAGATTAGCTGATCCCTCAGCAGATTCGAGGGAGAAACCCTATGAGCACCCTTCATCTGTTTGGATGTCTCTGTTGTACAGAATCAGAATATGTGTTTCATCTCAGTTAAGCAAGTTATGTAGAATATACAGAACAGATATATATATATATATATATATACATATTATATATATATTTGTATATATATATATATATATATATACATATTATATATATATTTGTTTGCATAACATGATCTTCGCATAGAAGCTTTCTGTTTGTTTCTTTCCTAATTTTGTTTCTTTCAAAACTGCTTTGATGTTGCCTGCCCTTTTTTTTCTTTTTTTTTTTTTTTTGCTGTAAGATTAAATGTCATGGTGTTTCTGTCTTTTGCTGTAAGACTAAATGTCATGGTGTTTCTGTCTTTTGTTCTAAGACTAAATGTCATGGTGTTTCTCTCTTTTGCTTTATACAGAGCCCTTTTTAACAACAACAAAAAACTTGCGCAAAGTATACAAATGTATTGCAGTTACAAAGTTTACGTGACTTCAACAAAGGGGTTGGGACAGTTTTCCACAAAGTAAACCTTGTGAGGAAGAACGGAGGAGACAGCGAGTTTCTTAGAGGAAAAATTGGACAGGTGCAACATTTGGTTTTACCGTACAATGATATTATTATTATGTCACATCCTGGAGAAAATGAACATAGAACTCTTTTTGTCGCATATTTATACAAACTGTACCTCATTCTCCTCCGTTCTCATTTCTCCTTATGCTTGTTTCTTTGTCTACATGGATAGTTTCACGATTGACAGTCTTGAGCTTTCTCACTTTCTCCACTCTGGCCATTTCTATACCAATTTATGTTATTTTAATATAATAATAGCCTAGATCTATATATCATTTTTTTAAATTCAAAATTGCTATCTGTTACCAAACAGTTTTGCTATAGAACGTACATTTAAATTCGTAGTTCCTTACGGTTAACATGATCAAACACTCCTTTTCTCCCATTCTCTAGGGACAAACAAACACAAGCTAGAGTGGTCTCAAAAGGTTTATCTGACCTGACTGTCCCAGTCTACCAAAGCTGAAACACCTTCCTGTTTCAATCATCGTGTGCTCCTGCTCTTAGGGGGGATTAGCTGGACGTTCTTTTCCCTATGTGTTTATCCTTGGGCCTTATTCATTTCTTTCTCTGCATGTGATGGGAGTTTTACAGTGATTACTTGAATGAACTGAGAAGATAGCATTTTAGTAAAAAGAATTACTTGTGAGTCTGAACATGTTTACACGTACAGATAGATAGATAGATAGATAGATAGATAGATAGATAGATAGATAGATAGATAGATAGATAGATAGATAGATAGATAGGCGTGGAGAACATGAAAGAAAGACAGAAAGTGGGAAAGAATGGTAGAGGCAAAAAAGGGAGGAAGAGAGAGGGAGGGGGGCGGGGCAGAGAGAGCGAAATGTAGAGTGGCTTTAGTTAAAGACAGAGAGAGACAGACATAGAGAGAGATAGAGATAAAGATAGGGAGAGAAAAAGAGATAAAAAGAGAGGGAGAAATGTGTGTGTGTGTGTGTATGTGTGTGTATATGTGTGTGTGCTGTGTGTATGTGTGTAAAAGAGAAAGAGAGAGAGAGAGAGGAAGAGGGAAAGGGAGAGAGAGAGAGAGAGAGAGAGAGAGAGAGAGAGAGAGAGAGAGAGAGAGCACCTTTCGGACTGACTCGTTCCCAGGTGATATTCATATTTCACCCTGTGGGATTAGTTTGTTTCTGTGTTTTTAATGGGTTCTTGTTGTATCATGGTAACGACTTCCTTGTTTGAGCACAATTTCCTCTCCCATGATTTCTTTCTTTTAGAAACATTTGGACAATGGTATTTTTATTGTGAGTGAAATCAGTAACAACATGTGCTTTTGGCT